AGGCACGAGGCGGTCCGGGTGGGCGGCGGGCACGGGGACATCTGGAGCCCGCTGGCGGCGAGGGAGACCTTCCCTTACATGGCGCGGAGCAGTGCACCCCGCCCCGCCACGAGGTCTGGGGATATGTCACCCGCCGCGGTTGGGGTCCCCGCCGGGCCTCTGAGAGTGGTCGCGCGGTAGGTGGCTGACCTGGGGACTCTGCGTGCACCCCCGCCCGGTGGTCGCTCGTCCCTAGACCCCAGGGAGCGCCGCCTTCACCTCTGTCCCCAGGATGACTTGGAGGAAGTCCCCCCGGGTGGGCTTCCTCGTGACCCGATTTGGCCTGAAAAGTCTGGGTGCTTCCAGCCCTCCCGATGGTTTGGAGTGGGAGGAAGTTCTTCCGGCTTCACGTAGACAACCTATTCTCAGTGTGTTCCTTTCTGCGCAGTAAAAAAACTTCCCGGGCACGGGCGGGTCAGGCAGTCATTCTAAAACCTGCGTGCAAGTTGCCCCGTGGTATTACTACCACGGCGTGCTCCTTCCCCGGTTCAGGGTGTGTGGGAACCAGATAGGAGTTGTGTTTGATTTGTATGATTAGGATAGTAAGACATGTGCCTCCGGGAAACAAAACAAAACTACACTTCCCAACACCCACAGTCACTCCGTTGCTTCAGACATACCAGAGGGTTGGGATTTCAGTCCCAGGTGTAACTCTAGAAATGTGCCTTTTAAGTAAAATGTGACTAGTGGACCTGTGTACGTTGGCCTCTGGCTGAACGCCTTAATGGTGTCTAATTGGAACAAGAATTTATTTGGGATTTAGCCGAACATTTCTTGCCCTTCATGCTTGGTTCCGATAATAGGAGACCATGATACATTTATTCCCCTGATAGTTTTAGTTGGTCTCGGTGGAAATGGTCATTATTTTTAGATGAACTCTTCTTTCTGTCATTGTACCGAAAGGTCTTATTTAAGTCACTGGGGAGTAGAAACTTATGGGAAGGTCAACAGTGGGTTAAAATATGAAGGTCATGTTGGAGCATTATAAAGGTAAAACCCAAAGGATGTCAGAAGGGTTCTGAGTAAACAGACGGGACAAAGCTTACTAAATAGAGATCAGACATGGATGCCCTTGCCTGGCTCTAGATCTTAGAGCCATGAGCTCCTCTACATGTGATTATTTGTTTTCGGTGGAAAAAAGGGCTTGAGAGGCAAGACTGTTGACTTCAGGAAGTTTGAATTCTAAGACATATATGTTCATTACATTTGGTAGAAGATCCCATTCTTTGATGGATTTAAATACATGTTGGTCGATTAGCCTGTAGTCTCTTTTAACCAAAGGCCGTCAAAATAGGCCATCATTGGCCGAACCGGCCGTGACTCATGCCCGCAATCCCAGCACTTTGGGAGGCCAAGGTGAGAGGATTACTGGAGCCCAGGAGTTCGAGACCAGGCTAGGCAACATAGCGAGACTCATCTCTACATGAATAATTAAAAAAACAAAATAGTCGGGAGTGGTGGCATGCACCTGTAGTCCCAGCTACTTGGGGGGCTGAGGCGAAAGGATCACCTGAGCCCAGAGGGTTGAGGTTGCAGTGAGCCATGAGCGTGTCACTGCACTCCAGCATGGGTGACAGAGTGAGACTGCGACTCAAAAAATAAAAAAATAGGTGATCATGTTGCAGGGCCCAGCATTATGCCCAGTTAAGAGAATCCTTCCTCATTGACCATGTATTTGGAAGCTTTACTGATTCTCCTAGAGAGGAACTTGAAACAGGAATTAGTGTGGCCTTGTTATGGAGAGAAATGGGTGTCCTTCAGCCCTGGAGATACCTGGGGCTCTGTCATCTCGCCCAGAGGCATCTTCAGAGATGCCCATCATTACTCATGGGCTTGCCTTTGGTCCTTGCTCTGAGCAGGGCCTTGTGATGGGATGATGGTATTTTTCTGTCCGATTGCCCCCTTTGGGCCTGGACAGATTTTAAAGGTAGACCCCACAGGACTGGACAGTAGATTCCATATGAGGGGTGAGAGAGGTTAAATATAACCCCAAGGACAGTGGAATCACCACGTGGACAAGATGGAAAGAGTGTCTGGGCAAGAGTGTGTTGGGTCAGAGGACTTTTAAATTTTTTTTATTTTAAATATGTGGGGTACAATTCAGCATTAGGTATACAAGTGGACACCATACAGGTAAAGTTTGGGCCTCCCTTTGGTCCCCACTTTGCCTGGTTTGAGATCAGGTCCCCTTATTATTATTATTTTTGAGTTGGAGTCTCACTCTGTTATCTGCTGGAGTGCAGTGGCAATCTCATGGTCACCGCAACCTCAACCTGCTGGGCTTGGGTGATCCTTCCACCTCAGCCTTCTAAGTAGCTAGAACTACAGGCACGTGCCATCACGCCCGGCTAATTTTTTGATTTATTCTAGAGATAGTCTAGTCTGATGATGGTCTGTTTCTGGTCTCGCCAAGTTGCCCGGACTGGTCTCGAACCTGTGGGCTCAGGTAGTCCTTTGACCTCGGCCTCCCAAAGTGCTGGGATTATAGGTGTGAGCCACCATGCCCAGCCAGATACCCCTACTGATGTTGTGTCCCCTCCCCACCCTGGCAGTATCCTATCCTGCTACTGCCAATCCCTTATAGCATTATGGCAAATATTCGGGGTCCGCTTAAGAGTGAGAGAAAGACATTTAAAGTCACAGCTGACCTTTCTAGACACTCCCAGCTCCCCCGGGACAGGGCTGGACTAGATGAACCCTCTTGGGGTCTTCCCCGGGTGCATGCCTGTGTTGCAGTCACCTGTTCCAGGGAGGTGGCCTCCTTCCTGATCCCCTGCCTTTCCTGGCTTCTCATACAAGATCTTGGGGTCTTTTCTAGCCCTGTCTCCTTTGCTGCCCGTCGCCCCCTTTGCCCTCCTGCTGCCTTCCAGTGGGCCTCCTGGTGGTGGGCTCACCCCGTGGGATGGGGACCCTCGGAATGTGGGGTTCTAAAGTCTGGGGTGTTCACAGGTCTTCAGGACACATGCCTCCCGGTGGGTTTCCAGGGTCTTAGGCTAGTGGCATTAGATTCCTCACCTGAGCCCCTGTCTACCCCAAGCTTTAGGTCTCTCCTCGAGGGAGGGAACAGACTAGCAGTGTCTTTTGCGGCCGATTATCAGCCTTGTGACAAATGCTAGTGCCTTCTTTTTCTGTTTCTCCATTATCCGCCTGCACTCTGCCACCCCAACTCCAAAGCAACCTTGGGAATAACTACCCTGCAGTGGTTCAAGGTGAGTCATCATTTGTCGAGGGGGGTTTAGAGCATTTGCCACCTGGAATCAGCTAGAAGATTGGGCAGCAAATTGAGAAATGATGTGGTGGACACGAACCATATTCATTTCTCTCCTGGGGCATTCCTTCAGATGTGCAGCATTGGCAGAGTGGGGGTGACGCTGTTTGCCCGACCTATTGGTCAAGAGTCAGTCCCCCAGGAACATGGGCTGCGGGAGAGAATTCCTGGACATCGGACTGTTTTCTTGCGTGCAGTTCACCCATCCTGCCTTACCCAGCGGCCTTCGCTGGGTTTTTCCCCCCTGGGTAGTGTTGTGACCGGTGGGGACCTGCTGATGGTACGTTTGGTGGACACACCGTATAGCTGGGGTTAGAGCCACGTGACCAATGGAAGAGGCCTTTGCAGCTTCAGTGCAGAGTGAGATGGTTACCTGCCCTGAAACCAAGACGCTGCTTTGAGCAACCGAGGGGAGATGGATCGAATTCTGGAACAGCCGACTTTGGCTTCTGGCGTCCTGGGCTTACTCCTCTCCTTGGGTGCAGCCTCTGGACCCTACGGATGGGATGGCGACCTTATACGCTGGCTCCATCTGTAGGGTTGGGGAGCCTGTTTCTCTCACCCTCACATCAGTGACACTAGGAAGCGCGAAGTCCGTGGCATTTTTTGAATAAAGAGACCAAATCAGAGGGTTTAGGTTTCTTTCTCGAAATCAGTCTTTTTGTTCCCAGTCTCCGGTTCTGATCATGGCAGCCAGAAATCAAGTCCAGGGAGCCCTTTAAAGGCTGCAGTTTAGTGGGCGTGCATGGGGGTGGAAGAGAGAACGTCCCTTTTCCAGGAGGACCGTGCCCTTCCACATTGCCTCCCCCTTTTTTCCTTGTAGAGTGTCACCCTTTTCTGGGAGCACAGAGGGCGTGGGCAGTTTTGTTGCCTTACCTCTCTGTATTTTTGCCATAGTGCTTTCTCCAGAACATTTGTTCAGATAATGTCTTTGACCATGAAGACAGCCCGCTGGGTGCTGGGCAGCGCCCTGCCTCCCCTCATATCTTTGACCATGAGGACAGCCACT